GCAGTTCTCAACCTGTGGGTCGCGACCCCTTTGGGGGTTGAATGACCCTTTCACAGGAGTCGCCCGATTCATAACGGTAGCAAAATTATAGTTTTGAAGTAGCAACGAAAATAATGTTATGGTTGGGGGTAGTCAGCAGCACATGAGGAACTGTATTAAGGGTCGCGGCATTAGGAAGGTTGAGAACCACTGCCCTAGACCTTAAAATGACATCTTTGCTCTTTATCACTCCGAATAAATCTTGTGTAGCAGATTTTCCCAGTGGAATGCATCATTTGATTTCTTGAGTGCTGTTCCCCGGAGTGTTGATTGTGGACTTAAGTAAAATGAAATCACAGATGACTTGAATCCTTTCTCCATTTATCATGCTGTCTAGTGGTCCAGTGTGAGGACTTTTCTTTTGGTTTTAATTGAGATGTAACTATACGGAAGGCTGTACTCTTTATTTTCATCAGTAAGTATTTCAAAGTTGTGTCATCTTCATATCACAGGTTGCTAATGAAAATTCCTCCAATCCTGATGCTGTATTCTTCAAATAACTCAATTTCTCAGACTATAGGTTGAGTATATATGATGAATGGAGACAACCTTGAAACACACCTTTCCTGATTGTAAACCACTCAGTATCCCTTTTTACTTTTCAAGGAACTGCTTCTTGGTCAATGTACAGGTTTTGCAAGAGTATACTTAAGTGTTCTGGGATATTTCCATTTTGCACAATATTATCCATAGTTTTTGATGATTCACATAGTCAAATGCCTTTGTACAGTCAGGAAAACAAAAGTAAACCTCTTCCTAGTATTTATTCCTTTCAGTCAAGATCCATCTGGCTCAAATACAATTTAAGGAGATCATTTATTAAGTTTTAAACAGGACAAAGACAAGATAAGGACACATCACCCAGGTTATGGAGAATATTAGCTTGAGGTGGTAATGGTTTCTAGAGACTCACAGGTGCAAAAAGGACATGAAAGGACAAAGGAAACTGTCACAACAGTATTATTGGTGGCAGATCAATACATCACAGTTACAGGTGGAACTACAGAAGGGGGGTCAACCGTGACTGGAACATCCTAGATGTTGTTAGAGAGAGACCTTACAAAATTTGTCCAAGGACTTCTAACCAAGGAATTAAGGGCCCGACTCATGATTTTGTGACCCCAGTACCCCAGTACAGTGATGAGGAACCCTGGTGACCTCGTGGTTATATGTTCAGCTGCAGTCCTCAAGGTCAGCAGTTTGAAACCACCAGCTGCTCCTTGGGGAAAAGATGGGAGAAAAATCAACATATGTGAATTGTGGTGCTGGAGAAGAATACTGAAAGCACCATGGACTGCTGACAGGACAAGTCAATCTGCCTTGGAAGACGTACAACCAGAGTGCACCTTAGAGGAAATGCAGGTGAGACTTCAAATAAGGAAGGAGGATTTTAGTAAATGTTCAGGAATTTATGTTAGAAGTGGGGGAAACACAGTTGTATCTACCAAGAAAACCACAGTGGCTAATTCATAGAACAAATTTCCTCTGGAACCAGGACATACTTGTTCTTCATTCAGGCCTGTTCTTTTCATTCATAGATCACCTACGTTTGCTACCTAAAAGCCTCTCCCTTCACATGCAGCATTGACTTTCTTCTACCTAATTTCTGTCACACTTAGACATTCAAGCTTCATGTTTCATTGTTTCATAAATTCCTTCTTATCTTGGTAGAACACTTTGTGAAACTGGTCCTGCAGTTAACATGGCCACCATGGTTTGGTGCCCATGCTTTGTCGGGCCAGAGTAATTTCCCTGAGGCCATTGACCTTTCTCCTGTGGCTAAAACAATAAACTCCAAACTCAGCAATATGATAGACTTATTGCCTGCCTTTAGAGAAGCTGAGTATCAGTGAGAGAAAATGAGGCTGTCGTACCAAGAGCAACAGAAACAAGATTTGCAGAGAGTCCTGACAAGGTTTGGGTCCTTGCTCCATTTTTTCTGGGGATTGAGCTCTGCAGTCCTGCTCTTGTTAATGTTGATTGTTCAATCCTTCCTTGGATTTCAAGAGCCCTTTTTATTTGTTGAGTTGAGCCTCTTTCTCTTCAAACAGGATCAATATAATTATGCATGTACCAAACCAGACTTCCTGCCAACATGTCACTTTCTACTCATACTAACATTATAGGATGAAGTCGAACCGCTCTTAAGGGTTTCCAAGGCTGTTAATCTTTATGAAAACAGAAAACCTCATCTTTCCCCCCGGGAGCAGTTAGTGAGCTTGAACTGCTGACTTTTCAGTTAGCACTCTACACAAACTCACTGACAATGGGTTGATTTAGACTCATAACAACTGCTATGAGACACTCCCCCAGGGCTTCTTGATTATACATGAAGTGAGAGACAAAATTAGAATAAGAAGCAGGGCCAGATTAAAGCCTGTGAGGCCCCTAAACACTGGTCACAGTGGTGCCCCCTCCTTACGTATTCCAATGGGCTATGTGCGTTCCGTATATACACGTGTGAGAGTAGTTCAAAATATCGTGGGGGCTTTTCGAAACTGCTGCGTAGACTCTAAATGCTGTCTCAGATTCAGGAGCTGTCATAGCCCCTTGCCACCAGTGCCATCAATAAAGATGCTCAAACCATTTTTTGAAAATCTTGTATAGTTTCATTCCATTTTTCCAAAAATCTTTTAAAGCCTCTGTGTGTGTGCATGTGTGTCTTACCTGAATGCGTTGTCTTTTTCATCTCTCTGCCTCCTCCTCTACCCCCTCAAATTTGTTCACTCTGCTTTCAAGGTGATTTTTTTCGGGAAAGCAAGCCTGATCACATTACTCCCTTGTTTAAAATCCTTCTGCATTTTCCCCATCAGCCTTCAATTTCTCCATATGTAGAATGGGGATAAAAATTGAGGTACAAAAACCTGAAAGGATTTTCTCAAAATGAAACAGATAGAGATAATAATCTTGGAACCCTCAGCTGCAGAAGAAAGGACAGAAAATTGGATTGAGTGCTGAGTAGGAGAAGCAGCTGAACATAAAACAGCCAGAGAGGTCACAGACACCATGGGTGACTTTCCAGTTGGCCTGACACCACATGTCCATCTTGAACATTTGCAAGCAGTATTTGATTGGACAGTACTCTGCCACATTCAAACCAGCATAAGCACAAACACCAATGACTGGTAACTGTAATGGTGTGGGCCCCTTGTTCTCCACACCCTCCAGGGCCAACTCCAACATTTTCTCAAAACAGTAAAGAGGAAAATCATAAAGATTGAGTAAACATTTTTAAAAAGCAATAGAGACAATGACAAGAAAACCCACAAAGTGAGCTCAGCAAAGCTAATCATATGAAACTGAGAAACCAGCAGCCCCACAAAAGGAAACATCACAAAATACCAGCAGGAATTTCATACCTATCAATAATTATGCTGAATGTAAATCAATTAAATGCACCAGTCAAGAAACAGGGCAGCAGAATGGATAAGAAAAAAAGGACCCATCGATATGCTGTCTACAATGAGACATGCTATAGACACAAAGAGAAAAATGCCAAAAACCAAAAGATGGGAAGGCCGTAATAAATAGCACAAATACACTCTCAAACATAAATGGAAAAAAAACCCACAAACAGTAGAAGACAAACTAGATGACTGGGAACTAAGAATTAGCCCTTTATGTGCACCAAAAGAGCAAAAAGAGTTTTTAAAAAACATCCACCGATGGGAAAAATATGGTTGGCAATGAACTAATCTCTAAAATGTATTGAAAATTTCAACACTTCAACAAGAAAAACCTAATAATAATCCAGTTAAAAACATGGGACAGAGAAAATAAAAAGACACTTTGCCAAAAAAGACATTCAGGAGGTCCACAAACATTTGAAAAATGCTCAAGATCATTAGTCACTTGAGAGATACAAATCAAAACAATGAGATGTCATATCACCCCAACATTAAGAGCAAAGTTCAACATCAAAGTAAAACAAAACAAGATACAACAAAAGAAGTCAAGAGTGTAGCGAGATAGGGACCCTTATATACTGTGGGTAGGACTGTAAAATGGTGTAACTACTGTGAAAAATGATACTGCGCCTCCTTAAGCTGGAAATCATATGACCCAGTAATCCCCTCTACTTGGTATTCTTAATCTGACTCTTGTATCCATTTATGCCTCCCATCATTTCATTGGGTAGGGCATGCAAATAGGGTGTATGACACACTTAAGAGAGGCAGTTGTCAGTTTTGCCATTCCTCTGTGTATAAGAGAGCCATCTCAGAATCAGGAAGAGAGGAAAATGCCCAAGACCATTGAAGAAGAGCCACCATCAGAGCACATTCATTTGAGATTCCTACCTGAAGTGGTAGGGAGACAGAGCTGGAGGCAACACTGAGACCAGAATCACCAGAGCAGAGAAGCCAGAGTGCTGAGATCGTGAGGCAGAGCAGCAGCAGACTTCCCAGCCCTGGGAAGAAGGCAGAGGCCAAGGGATCATGTGACTGAGTAATTAAGGAACAGAGAGAAACTTGGCTTCTGGTTCAGGAGAAAGGCTTATGTAGACCAAAGACTGTATCCATTATGTCTTATGATAAACAAAAATAAGTTTTGTGATCCTGACTTGTAGTAATCTGTTAGCTTCCTTATTAAACACCCATAATGGTGAGTATTATCTGTAGGTTCTGTATGGCCTTTGCAATGGATTATCAATAGGATATAGTAAGAAGAAAGTGTGGAGACTTCTCTGACCTCTGCCTTGTGACTGACCTGTCAGTCATCCTTGAGCTTCTGTGGAGATGAGTCTCCTCCCTACTGAATCTGGGGGAGGTCAGATATGGCCTCCCATGCTGTTTATTCACTATCCTAGAGAAATAAGAGCTTGACATAAATAGACATGTGCACACTTATGTTCATCACAGCACTAGTCACAATAGCAAAAAGATGGAAACAATCCTAAGGTCCATCAATGAAAAATTAGATAAACAAACTATTCATATGCTCAACGGAACTCTAAACAATGTTAAAAAATAATCCATAAAATGCCTCATAACATGGATGAACCTGGAGGACACTATGCTGAGTGAAATTAATCAATACAAGAACAAATGCTATATGTGGTTATTTTTACAAAATGTGAAGAAAAGATTTCACACTTAAAGAAATATTCTTTGATGATGACCAAGAATGAGAGAAGAAGTGAGGGTAAATTACTGTTAACTTGGGTGAAAGTAAAGTAATTAAGAATGATGTTGTCAGAGAAATCTCAAGAAGACAGCAACTGGACCAGTGTTCCAGGGGAGGTTGGGCATGGGAGAGGAGGAGACAGAGAGAGAGGGGATAAATGGGAGATGTGGTAGTTACATAATCTCCTGGCGACTTGTGAAGGGGTGGAGTCTGGCCTGTCAATCAGATTGCAGCTTGATGGCCTCATTTGGAGGCTCCATGGAGAGAAATAGCTCACTAGAGGCCCACAGTCCCTGTGAGACATTCCTGTTGACAAACCACATGCAGCTACACTAATGGAGCCAGAGCCCTGGAGCTGGAGGAGCTGCATGGAGACCCACACCAGTGCTGAGATGTTTCCACCACCACTGGATCCACAAGACGTTCCACCCACTGGCTGTGCTCTTCTTACATTTGGCGTCATTGCATGTGTTGCGTGAGTCTGAAGAGGAATTTATAGACTGGTATCAGACATATGGGCTAATATCAGCCTTATGGACTTGATCTGGAGTGGGCTGGGATTTTTTCTTAATATACAATTACTCTTTGATATAAAGTCCTTTCCTATACATATGTGAGTCTCCCTGGATTTGTTTCTCTAGTCTACCCAGACTAACACAGGAGGTGATATCAAGGAGTTCAAGAAAAAAGAAAATTGATTGTAAATGATGATGGCAACAATTGTACAACTATGCCTGAGCTAATGGAACTATGGATTGCAATTACATGTGTAAGACCTCCCAATAAAATGTTAAAAAAAAAAAAAAGGTCAGAGGAAAATAGAGAAGTACAAGAGTTACAGGCAACAGAGGTAAAGGTTGTTCCAAATACCAAAGAAAGCCAAACTCACTGACGCCATTCAGTGCTGACTCATAGTGACCCCGACAGGACACAGTAGAACTGCCTTCTGAGTTTTCGAGACTGTAATTGTTGGGAGTAGGAAGCCTTTTTCCCACGGAATGACTGGTAGTTTTGAACTGCTGTCTTTTTGGATTGCAGTCCCATGTGTAAACATTATACTACCAGGGTTCCACCTGTGTTATATACACAATCCTGAAATAATGGTAATCTATGAGTAGATGCTTGAATATATCTGTAGGCTGAACCAGTAGGATAGGAACAGTGGAACTATATCCACAAATATATATGGTTTTGACAGAGGATCTTTGTGCATAAGTATTTACCTTTGCAGAAAATAT